TGAAGTCTACGATCATGCGTGCCACTCGCAAAATAGATTAACGACGTGGTTGTTGTCTGAGGAGTCTATTTCGATTCGTAATGAGGTATTGTGAGGGAATACTTTCACAACTGTCGTGTTTTGGTCAATTTCGTGTTTCACCAAAGTTTATCACCGTCACAGTCATCCAAAGTCATGACTTCACCGAAACCCCGAAACCCTCACTGTCAATTGTCATGAGATTCTGTTCAGGTTCACCCAAAGTTCTATTTTCGGGGTTTCGGGGTTTCGGGGTTTATTAGGAGATTACTGAACGTTCTTGTGACCAATCAGTGTTCTTGGAAAACATCGAGTGATTTCCGAAAATAGTGAATGACTGATAAATCAATAACCGTACACGAGATGATCGAGGGACCAATCCCCTAATCGATCGCTGCAAAATGACTCGGTCATAAATTAGTATCCGGATGTCTGACCAGTCATGAAAGTCCATCCAAGAACACATGGGTGTACTTGGAATGTAATTGCACTGACTGGAGGCTTGATCATACGTCAAGAGGTCTATTGTACAGTAGTGTTCTGTTCCTGCAGTGTACTAGACCACTGAACCAGTAACTTAGGTACTGATGAAATAGTAGAATGTATTGGATATATTTAGTGGTATACAAAATACAATATGTTTGCTGCTCAAAAATCCCTGTCTTCGTAATTAACCCTATATTTTAGTAAATGATCGATAACTACGGCAGAGATCGAGAAACCTCGTAATTCGTCAATCTATTGATCAGTAGATGGGGTTCATGATCAAAGATGCAAATATAGAGGTATATCTCCATCTGCGATTAGGACGCGCTTTAATTGGTCGACACGATTTAGCGCCAAAACAACAACAACAAGTCCTATCCATTCGTCTTGCAAGTCCCCAGCACGAATAACTTGTAATACACAACACCACTCAGTGTCTTGCCATGCGCGTGGAAGACCAGTTCAGCGTCGGATAGACTGCATCTCCAACAAAGTCTGGTTGAGTACGGCGAAGCAGCCGACGAAGACAACGACGTCCAAGATGCCAACAACGAATTAATGGACAAGGTCATTGAAGAGGCTGGTGATGAAGCGTTCCGCGTGTTGACAAACTTCACTCCAAACGAATTCGACATCATCTGGGCCAACGTGGAGCGTGCAATGAATTCGAAGTGGTTTGAAGGTCGAGGAAGAAAGTCCAAGATGACGCCCAAGGATGTTTTACCCTGACTGTTCTCAAACACTACCAGTCCTGGGAGAAGCATGCCGTTGATTTCGACCTGAAAGCGCCAACGTTGGAGAAGATCGTCGTCAAAGTTGTGTAATTGTGCTCACCGATCCTGTACCACACGTTCGTGACAATTCCGACGATGACGAGCCTGGGCCAGAAGTTTGTGCACTACCCGTACGCGTTGTATGCGACGGACGTCAAGTTCCAGCCTTCCCACCGACCATCCGGAAGGTTCGGGGAGCAGAAGCACTATTTCAGCGGCAAACATAAGCTGTATGGTCTGAAGATAGAAGCGTCTGTCTCACCTGACGGTCGTCTTGTCGATATGAGCCCTCATGTGCCGGGCTCTGTGGCCGATTTGACGTTGATCCGCAACCGCCTTGACGAACACCAACGATTCCTCTCTAAGGAAGCAAGTAAGTCCATGATCAACGACAAAGGTTACATCGGCCTTGCGGCGTCGTTGCGTGCTATACACCCGAAGAAGAAACCTACCGGTGGCGCGCTGGACAGGCATGACCTTGACCGGAACAAGGAGGTGTCCTCGGATCGCGTTATTGTTGAGAACTTCTTCGGCCGAGTCAGCATGTTGTGGAAGGTGTCCTATGCAACGTTCGTTTGGGGTGAGAAGCTGTATGATGACATCCAGCGACTTACATTCTCGCTGACCAACTTACATGCCTCGCTGCTGCCATTGAGATTGGAAGACCACGACAGCTACCGAGCTGCAATGGCGCGGTACAAGCGTATGGCGGCGGAGAACACGACGAAGCGCGCTGCAGCTCAACGTCGCTACGTGCAGCGCCGAGCGGAACGACTTGCTGCCAGTGCAGCACGTGCTGATCGCGTAGTCTTCACGTCACCTTCTGTGAATCGCCGTCGTTGAGTTTTGGATGACGCGAATATAATTACTTGCTTATTGTATGTAATTATAAATAAGGAGTATATTTTTTGTTATTAATGTTCGGTCCTAGTTTCCGAATTGCTTGATTTTAGTTGACAGTGAACTGGGAAAGAACTCGACACAGTTGCACACAACAACATATAAGAGTTTGTAAGTCACCCATCCAGACAAGTTCGAATATTATTTTGTCATACAACACTCGTCTGATAAAATACGAAAAATTCAATTGATGTGATTCGCCACAGCACCACAAAAATATTCAAATTCCACAAGTGAGTCCACAGGACTCCAAAACAAACCCATACAAAATCCAACATAACAAATAATTCACTTAAACAAAAACAAAATCCACCAACAGGTAGCCAAACATCAAAGGAGTCAAATGCAACAGTCAAAAACCATTAAATCCTCACCGTTCGCCCAATAAACTCAATTGAAGTATATTTTAAAAAAATTGGTCCTGCAGGGCTTACTTGCTTCTCTCATGGATGGCTCGCATCGCTCGCGAGGGACGCGTGGCAGTGCTTTTTCGAACGACCTTTTCACCGCAGACTCACTTAAACTTTCCCATGCCTTGATCGTGCGTTCAATCATCTTCATTCTCTTCTCTTCCGCAGACTTCACCGGCTTCTCCTGTAGCCACAAAGCGCGAAGCTTGGCCTTCAGTGGCCCCATCACGCCAATGTCACGAGGCTGGGACACGCTTGTTGTGTTTGGCGGCAGCGGCTCCAAGAAACCATACAGCTCTTCTTCGACAGTGCGCCGCGACGTGTAAGAGACATGAGTAGCGAGGTTGTCTACCAGCAGGACTGACGGGCCAACCAGCTCATACTTCAACACCTCCTTGAGGTAATATACCCGCACACTCTCATACATCCAAGCTCTTTCTTGAACCAAGAGGTATCTGTCGGCTCGAACGGCCTTCATGAAGGCCAACAAGTCGTTGGTGAATTGCATGGCGACAGGTCTCCCTTGACCACCAAGCGTCAAGCACCGTTTGTTGCGTTCGGTGGTGAGGTATGCGTCCTTCTTACTCAGGCATGTCAGCCAAGTTGTGCGTGGAATACCTTCTAGCAGAAATAGCCTTATCCGAGAGATTTGTATTCCCATAGGCCATGAATAGCTTGATGCGCATGTCGAGGTTGTACCGCCTTTGGATTCGCTGGGGAAGCAGCGGGGCAGGCATTTCAAAGTTTGAACGTTTCGGTGTTTCCAAGGCAGACCAATCACAGACCTTAAATTGAAGTCACTAATCCAATCAAGTTATGATGTGCTTTTTTGCGTTTTTTTTCTTTGTCATGTGGATTGCATATTTTTATTCGAGTGCAACTGTGTCGAGTACTTTCCCAGTTCACTGTACCACCTCGTGAAATATACTACTACAGTAGTCCCCCGGAATAAGGAACCCACCATAAATCTATATCCTCTCAGAAAACATAATTTTGCGTGCAAATCAGTCATAAAATCCGAGAGGTATATTCAACTTCTAAATTTACCACGCAAATAATGTAACACATGTTGGCGACACTCACACTTGGACTCAGCATGCCGTCGCCGTTGTCGCGGCTACGATTGACAATCGAGCAGAAGCGTACACTGTTAACTGTAAAGCAGCATGAGTCACGCGCTGCCATGAAAATAGTTGAGTTGCGTCGAAGGGCTCGTTTAGCATTTGGCCTTTCACGTGACCCTCTTAATTCGACAATGTCACGGTTGCAACCTGAGACAAAACACACACCAACAAACACGTTTCATCCTTTTTAAAGGTTA